TCATCCTACTGCCAGGGTGCCTCCCAAGCAGATCATGTCTCACTATACAGAGGGCCTAGTACAGTCCCATGCAGGCTCCATAGCTGCTGATCTAAATTTCATGAGTTCCCACTAGTTTGGTTTGGTTGTCTCTGTAGGTTTCCCCATCATGATCTTGATGCCCCTTGCTCACAGAATCCCTCTTCTCTTTCTTCAACTGGACTCCTGGAGCTCAGCCTGGTACCTGGCTGTGGATCTCTGTATCTCCTTCCATCAGTTACTTGAGAAGGGCTCTATAACAGTTAGGGTACCCACCAATCTGGTTACTGAGGTAAGCAAGTTTAGGCACCCTCTCCACCATTGCTAGTAGTGTAAGCTGAGGTCATCCTTGTGGATTCCTGGGAACTTCCCTAGCACCCAGTTTCTTTCTATCCCAATGATGTCTTTCTCCATCATGTTACCTCTTTCATTGCTCTCCCACTCCATGTCTGTTCCAGCTCAATGACTTCATTCCCTTATGTTATCATCCCCCATCCCCTATCCTCTATTGTTCACCCCTCATTCCCAGGTTACTCATGGAGATCTCATCTATTTCCCCTTCCCAGGGGATGTGTCCTGCTTTGGGTCCTCCTTGTTAGCTAGCTTCTCTGGAACTGTGAGTTGTAGTCTGGTTATCCTTTGCTTTACATCTAGTATCCACTTATGAGTGAGTACAAACCATGTTTGTACTTCTGAGTCTGGTTTACCTCACTCAGGATATTTTCTAGTTCCATCCATTTGCCTGCAAATTTCATGATGTCATTGCTTTTCTCTGCAGAATAGTATTCCATTGTATATATATACCACATTTTCTTTATCCATTCTTCAGTTGAGAGGCATCTAGGTTGTTTCCAGGTTCTGGCTATTATTGATAATGCTGCTATGAACATAGCTGAGCATGTGCACTTGTGGTATGATTGAGCATTCCTTGGGTATATGCCCAAGAGTGGTATAGCTGGGTCTTGAGGAAGATTAATTCCCAATTTTCTGAGAAACCGCCATACTGATTTTCAAAGTGGCTGTACAAGTTTGCACTCCCACCAAAAATAGAGGAGTGTTCCCCTTGCTCCACATTCTTTCCAACATAAGCTGTCTTCAGTGTTTTTGATCTTCGCCATTCTGACAGGTATAAGATGGTATCTCAGAGTCATTTTGATTTGCATTTACCTGATGACTAAGGATGCTGAGCAATTACTTAAATGTCATTCAGCCATTTGAGATTCTTCCATTAAGAATTCTCTGTTTAGTTCTGTAGCCCATTTTTTAATTGGATTGTCTCAATATTTTGATGTCTAGTTTCTTGAGTTCTTTATATATTTTGGAGATCAGCTGTCTGTCAATGTGGGGTTGGTGAAGATCTTTCTTATTCTGTAGGCTGTCATTTTGTCCTATTTACTGTGTCCTTTTGCTTCTCAGTTTCAGGAGGTCCAATTTATTAATCATTGCTCTCAGTGTCTGTGCTACTGGTGTTATATTTAGGAAGTGGTCTCCTGTGCTAATGCATCCAAAACCACTTTCTACTTTCTCTTCTATCAGATTCAGTGTAACTGGTTTTATATTGAGGTCTTTGATCCACTTGGACTTGAGTTTTGTGCATGGTGATAGATATGGGTCTATTTGCAATCTTCTACATGTTGACATGTGTGCCAGCACTATTTGTTGAAGATGCTTTATTTTTTCCATTGTACAGTTTTGGCTTCTTTGTCAAAAATCAGGTGTTCATAGATGTGTGGGTTAATGTCAGGGTCTTCAATTCAATTCCATTGGTCTACAATGTCTGTTTTTATGCCAATACCAAGCTGTTTTTATTACTATAGCTCTATAGTTGAGCTTAAGGTCAGGGATGGTGATGCCTCCAGAGGTGGCTTTATTGTCAAGGATTGTTTTAGCTATCCTGAGTTTTTTGTTTTTCCATATGAAGTTGAGTATTGTTCTTTCCAGATGTGTGAAGAATTGTGTTGGGATTTTGATGGGATTTTTTACCATAACACAAAAGAATATACCTTCTTCTCAGCACCACATGGGATAGTCTCCAAAATTTACTGTATATTTGGCCACAAAGTAAGACTCAACAGATAGAAGAAAATTGAAATAACCCCATGTATCTTATCAGACCACCATGGATTTCTACAACAAAATGTGTACAAACTCATAGAAACTGAACAACTCTCTATTCTGTTACCACCAGGTCAAAGAAGAAATAAAGAAAAAAGTTAAAGACTTCTTTGAATTCAATGACAATTAATGTACAACATACCCAAATTTCTGAGACACAATGAAAACAGTGCTAAGAGGAAAGCTCATAGCACTAAGTACCTTCATGAAGAATTTGCAGAGATCTAATACTATCTTGAGTTAACATGAAAACTCTAGACCAAGTAGAAATGCACACATCTAAGATGAGTAGATGGCAGAAAATAATCAAATTCAGAGCTGAAATAAATAAAAAAGAAACAAAGGAAACAATACAAAGAATCAATGAAACCCAGAGTAGTTCTTTGAAAAAAAAAAAACATCAATGTTAATAGATAAATCCTTATCCCAACTAACTAAAAGACAGAGTGAGAATATCCAAATCAACAAAATCACAATAAAAAGAAAGACATAATAACAGACTGCAAGGACATCTCTCATTAGGTCATACTTCAAAAACTTGTAGTCTGCAAAATTGGAAAATCTAAAAGAAATTAACAATATTCTTGATATATACCCCTTACCAAAGTTAAATCAAGATCAGACAAACAATTTAAATAGACCAATAACCCCTGAGAAAATAAAGCTGTCAGTAACAACAACAACAACAAAAAGAGCCCAGGGTCAAATGGTTTTAATATGGAATTCTTTCAGACTTTCAAAGAAGAGCTAATGCCAATACTTTTCAAATTCCTTCACAAAACAGAAAGAGAAGGAATACTGTCAAATTCTTTCTATGAGGCCACAGTCACACTGATACCCAAACCATACAAAGAGTAAACAAAGAAAAGGAATTAAAGAATTACCAATTTCCCTCATGAACATACATGCAAAAATACTCAATAAAATATACCCAAATGGAATCCAAGAACACATCATAAAAGATCATCTATCATGATCAAGTGGGCTTCATGCCAGAGATGCAGGGATCATTCAACATCTGAAAAGTCTGTCAATGTAATTCATTATATAAATAAACAGAAATAAAATAAAATACATGATCTTCTCCTTAGATGATGAAAAAGACTTTGATAAAATTCAATACCCCTTCATGATAAAGGTCTTGGAAAGGTCAGGGATACAAGGGACATACCTAAACATAATAAAAGCAATATACAGCAAGCCAATTGCCAACAAAAAATTAAATGAAGAAAAATTCAAAGCAATTCCACTAACATCAGGAACAAGAAAAGGTTGTCCACAATCCCCATCCCTATTTATAGTTCTTGAAACTACTGAAATAATACAACTGAAAGAGATAAAGGGGATACAAATTAGAAAGAAAGAAGTCATTATTCATAATGATATGATAGTATACATAAGTGACCCAAAAATTCTACTTGGCTATTCCTACATCTGATAAACACCTTTATTGAAGTGACCGGATACAAGATTAATTCAAAAAACAACAATAGCCCTATATACAAACAATAAACAGGTTGAGAAAGAAATCAGAGAATCAACACCCTTTACAATAGCTTCAAATAATATAAAATATCTTGGTGCAACTCTAACCAAGCAAGTGAAAGACCTGTAGGACAAGAACTTTGAGTCTTTGAAGAAAGACACTGAAGAAGATATCAGAAGATGGAAAGAGCTCTCATGCTCGTGAATAGTTAGGATTAACATAGTAAAAATGTCCATCTTACCAAAAACAATCTACAGACTCATTTCAATCCTCATTAAAATCCCAGCACAATTCTTTACAGACCTTGAAAGAACAATACTCAACTTGATATGGAAAAAATAAACAAAACAAAACAAAACAAAAACCAGAATAGCTAAAACAATCTTGTACAATGAAAGAAATTCTGGAGGTATCACTATTCCTGATTTCAAGCTCTACTATAGCACTATAGTAATAAAAACACCAATGGCATTGGCATGAAAACAGACAGGTGGATCAATGTAACCTAATCAAAGAACTAGATGCAAGTCCATCTCCTATGGACACCTGATTTTCAACGAAAAAACCAAAATTATACAATGGGGAAAAAAGCATCTTCAACAAATGGTGCTGGTCCAACTGGATGTCATCATGTAGAAGAATGCAAATAGATCCAGATCTATCAGCCTCCACAAAACTCAAGTCCAAATGGATGGAAAACCTCAACATAAATCCACATACACTGAACCTCATAGAAGAGAAAGTGGGAAACAGCCTTTAATGTATTGGCACAGGACACAACATTCCAAAGAGAACACAAATACCATGGGCACTAAGATTAATAATTAATAAATGTGACTTCATGAAATTGAAAAGTTTCTGTAAAGCAGAGAACATCATCAATAGGACAGAATGACAACTTACAGAAAGGGAAAAGATCTTCACCAACCCCACAACTGACAGAGGATTTTTTCCAAAATATATAAAGAATTCAAGAAACTTAATATCTACAAATGAAATAATCCAAAAATGGAGTACAAATCTCAGAGAATTCTCAACAGAAGAATTTCAAATGGCTAAGAAACATTTAAAGAAATGTTCAAAATCATTAGCCATCAGGGAAATGCAAATCAAAGTGACTGAGATTTAATCTTACACACGTTAAAATGGCTAAGATAAAAACAAACTCAAGCAACAGCTCATGGTGGAGAGTATGCAGAGAAAGGGGAACACTCTTCTATTGATGGTAGTAGTGCAAACTTGTACAGAAACATTGGAAGTCAGTGTGGTGGTTTCTCATAAAACTTGGAATCAATCTTCCACAAGACATAGATATATATGTCTTGTTCATGGATATATACCCAAAAGATGCACAATCATACCAAAAGGACACTTACTCAACTATATTTATAGCAGCTTTATTTGTAATAGCCAGAACTTGGAAACAATATAAATGCCCCTCAACCAATGAATGGATAAAGAAGTTGTGGTACATTTACACAGAAGAGTTAAAAATAAGGACATCAGGAAATTGGAAGGCAAAAGAATGGAAATAGAAAGTCATGCTCAGTGAGGTAATCCAAACCAAGAGAGACAAACAAGGTCTGTACTTACTCCTAAGTGGATATAAGCCATAAAATAAAAGATAACTATGCCACAATCCACAGACCTAGAGAGTCTAGGTTGTAGCTGAAGTTTTCCTGTGTCCCACCTGGCTCTGCAGCTGCTCAGACCCAAGTAAACACACAGAGGCTTATATCAATTAGGAATTGCATGTCCATGGCCTATGGCTCAATTTTCTTGCTAGCTAGCTCTTATAACTGAACTCAGTCCATTTCTATTAATCTATATATTGCCACATGTTCTGTGGCTTTACCTGTGTGCCATTACATGCTGCTCCCTGGATGGCGGAATTGCATCTCCTCTGCCTCTGCCTTTCTTCTTTCATTATCTCCCTTGTATTTTCCTGCCTGGCTCCATCCTGCCCTGCCATAGGCCAATGCAGCTTTATTTATCAACCAATCAGCGCAACACACATTCACAGTGTACAGAAAGTCATCCCACTGCACTTCCCTTTCTATCTAATCAAAAAGGAAGGATTTAACTTTAACATAGTAAAATTATATATAATAGAACAGTTATTGCTGGGCAGTGGTGGCGCATGCCTTTAATCCCAGCACTCAGGAGGCAGAGTCAGGTGGATCTCTGTGATTTCGAGGCCAGCCTGGTCTACAGAATGACATCCAGGACAGGCACCAAAACTACACAGAGAAACCTTGTCTTGAGAAAACCAAAATAAATAAATAAATAAATAAATAAATAAATAAAACAGTTATCAAGCAAGAATTACAGTTACAATATATAGTCTATTTGTATTTTGCAAAACTAAAGAAAATATTCTATCATCTATTCTATATTTGTGAGTCTAAAGTTTCATATTTAATTTATCTTTTATCATAACTAAGGAAAACTATAATTATAACTATCTAGTCTTCAACTGTGTCAAAGACTTCAGAAGGATATATTCCTTAAGTAAGCATATATCTATGTATACCTAGAAAACTTAACTAACATGACAATGAGTTTGATTATCATAGATGATTAATTATTAATCTATATTTCTTAATGATACATTACAATTTTAAATGAGCTGCACAAACATAATACCTTAAACAAGAGTAGAAATATTCATAGTCTAGCAAAATTAACTTTAAATTTATATCAATAAACTAAAATCCATAGCAATGTAAAACATTTTTAAACAAGTTGTTGCTCTTTAAAAGTAGATTCAATAATCTATTCTTTCATCCTATCATATCTATATCCTATCCCCCTTTTTTCTTTTAGAAAGATATTGACTATGACTATAACCAATTTGTAAACAATCTCTAAACAAAGACAAATATTCATAATCCAGTTTTTGGGAATGTGGGCATAGTTTTCTAGGCTACTTCCTGCTGACTGTGGGTGCTGGTAGTCTAATGGGGATCCTGAAAAAATTCAAGATTTGTAGCTGAAGATTTCCTTGTCCTGCCTGGCCCACAGTCAGGACAAATCTCTCTCACCCGCCAGTCCCGCAGCCAAGTAAACACACAGAGACTTATATTACTTATAAACTGTATGGCCATGGCAGGCTTCTTGCTATCTAGTTCTTATATCTTAAATTAACCCATTTCTATTAATCTATACTTTGCCACGTGGCTCATGGCTTACTGGTTTCTTTACATGCTGCTTGTCATGGCAGCGGTGGCAGTGTCTCCTGACTCAGCCTTCTGCTGTGGATATCGTTCTGTATAAATAAAATACTGATTGGCCAGTGGCCAGGCAGGAAGTATAGGCGGGACAAGGAGAGAGGAGAATTCTGGGAAGTAGAAGGCTGAGTGGGAGAGACACTGCCAGCTGCCACCATGACAAGATGTGAAGATGCTGGTAAGCCACGAGCCATGTGGCAAGTTATAGATTTATGGAAATGGATTAATTTAAGATATAAGAACAGTTAGCAAGAAGCCTGCCACGGCCATACAGTTTGTAAATAATATAAGCATCTGTGTGTTTACTTTATAAGTGGGCTGTCGGACTGCCGTGGCTTGGTAGGACCTGGAGAGAAGCTCTCCAGCTACAAATGGCGCCCAACGTGTTGGCAAGAGTTTCCACCTAAAACCTGAGAAAAAAGATTCTAAAACGGAGCTAAAAACAGTTCCTAGTTGTCTCTCTCAAGTTAGTGGCAGCCTGTGTGTTTGACCTACTATCTACTATGGTGGGTTCCTGGCATGCGTGCTTGACCTGCAGTATGGCGGGAATGAGGCCTCTGCAAATGGCACATTAAGCTGGGCCTCTGCAAGTGGCACATTAAGCTGTGTGGTGGATTTAGCCTTTGCTAGTACAAAACAAAAAAAGAGGTTTCTGGGCTACATGCTGCTTTGATAAAAGCACAGACCCACGATGGCTCCCAGAGCTGGCGGAAAACGTACCACCGCCATGTTGGGAAGCTGAAGTGGGAAGCTGAAGTGGGCAGAGCCAGCAGCCACAGCACCGTTTCAGTCTTAGAATGCTTCAGTTTAAAGCAATAGGTTCAAGGTAATATAAAAAATAAGCCACGTAAAGATGGCTACCACACAGAGAATCTGGATTATGTTCTCTTTGATATTTGTAACTGAAGAAAAACATTTGATTGCAAAAGCTGTTGAGTTATGCCAAAATATTTTAAGGTACCTTGACTTCAAAATTTGGATGTAAGGATACGTTGCTTTGGAAAGGAGGCTCTGCTTCTGTTTCCACAGAAAGCCAGAGGCTATGGATTTATTCCAGATTAAGATAGATCAGGTTTGACCAGCCAAGACCCCCTGAAAGGTCTCCGATGATACCATGGCCCAGATGATCCAACATCCAAAACGGTTTGAAGACAACTGGCTCAGACGATACAACCTCATGGACTACTCCATAATCCTAAAATTTTCTTTGTGTCCCCATAAGATACAGCGCCCCCCTCCAGCAGGAACTAGTAAGAGAAGCTACGCTCAAATTCCCAAATAATATATAATTTTACTATGTTAAGGTTAAAACCTTCCTTTTTGAAAAAAAAGAAAAGAGAAAGTGCGGTGGATATCGTTCTGTATAAATAAAACATTGATTGATCAGTGGCCAGGCAGGAAGTATAGGGAGGACAAGGAGAGAGGAGAATTCTGGGAAGTGGAAGGCTGAGTGGGAGAGACACTGCCAGCTGCCACCATGACAAGCAGCATGTGAAGATGCTGGTAAGCCACGAGCCATGTGGCAAGGTATAGATTTATGGAAATGGATTAATTTAAGATATAAGAACAGTTAGCAAGAAGCCTGCCACCCCATACAGATTGTAAATAATATAAGCGTCTGTGTGTTTATTTTATAAGTGGGCTGTTGGACTGCCAGGGCTTGGTAGGACCTGGAGAGAAGCTCTCCAGCTACAGCCTTCCACTTCCCAGAATCCTCCTCTCTTTGTCCCACCTATACTTCCTGCCTGGCTACTGGCCAATCAACACTTTATTTATTAACCAATCAGAGCAACACATTCACAGCATACAGAACATCCCACAGCAGAGATTATGTTCAAATCCTGGGAAGACCGGTTGTAACCTTAGTTGATAGGTACCATCTGTTATGGTTCAGGAGGTCTGGCTTGATCAAATCTGATCCATCTTAATCTGGAACAAATCGATAGCCTCTTGCTTCCTGTGGAAACAAAATTAGAGCCTTCATTCCAAAGCAACGTATCTTTAGATCCAAATTTTGAAGTCAAGCCACCATATATATATGTTTTACTTGGCATCCTTTACAATTCAATGTCTCTCTCCAGTTAAAAATCCCAAAGACATTATAATCCAGACTCTCTGTGTGACTTCCACCTTTACATGGATTAACTTTTATATTATTCTTATTGTCTCTTTAAAGACTTTGTGTTTTAAAACTATTTTTTATAACTGCATATACTCCTTTTCCTGTCTCTTCCAAGCCTACATACATTTTTACACACAATGTAAACTATTCAGAGTTTTATTTCATCTGAATCTGTTCTTACTTTGTTTCTGTAATCATTTTCTGATCATTTCTTTAAACTGCAGCATGGCTAGAACAGAAGCAGCAGCCTTGGCTGCTAATTCCACCCACCTCAGCTTCCCAACATGGCGGAGGTAATTCATGGCCAATTCTGGGAGCCATGCTCTCAGCTGACTCTGGGAGGTAGTGGGTCTATGCCTCTATCAAGGAGCATGTAACCCAGAAACTTTTCCTTTTTTCTTTTTTTTCTTTTTGGTCTATATTAGCAAAAAGCTATATCCATCACACACCATGCTGTGCCACTTGGAGAAGCCATTTTGTACCATGGCAGGAATCCACCATGCTGCTTAGCTCATGTTGGTTGGTGGGCAGCTCCATCTTGCAGGCAGCTGTCAGGAGATGAGTCTGCTCTGCTGCTGGCATGAGATTGTAAGACTAGGAAGCCTAGTACGGTTCCATTTCTGTGCGTTCAGAATCTTTAAGCTTTCTTAGTTCTCTGTGGATCAATGCCCAACAGTGAGTGCCAAATGTAGCTGGAAATTTTCCTATGTCCTGCCCAGTTGTCCAGCCACTCAGACCCAAGTAAACACACAGAGGCTTATATCAATTAGGAATTGCATGTCCATGGTCTATGACTCAATTTTCTTGCTAGCTAGCTCTTATAACTAAACTCAGCCCATTTCTTTTAATCCATATATTGCCACATGTTCTGTGGCTTTACCTGTGTGCCATTACATGCTGCTCCCTGGATGGCGGAATTGCATCTCCCCTGCCTCTGCCTTTCTTCTTTCATTATCTCCCTTGTATTTTCCTGCCTGGCTCCATCCTGCCCTGCCATCGGCCAATGCAGCTTTATTTATCAACCAATCAGTGCAACACATATTCACAGTGTACAGAAAGACATCCCACAGCTCTAGGTAACTAGGAGGGTTCATGAGGGGTCACTTGATTATGCTAGAAAGGGGAAATAGAAGAGATTTTATGAGTATCCTGAGGGCAGGTGGGAATGAGAACACGAGCAATGAAATTGGGGGTGATATATTGTGTACCTTAATAAAGCTTGCCTGAGGATCAGAGGATAGAGCCTGCCACCAGATTAGACATAGAGGCCAGACAGTGCTGGCACACACCCTTAATCCTATCACTTGGGAGGCAGAGATCTGTCTGGATCTCTGAGAGTTCAAGGCCACATTGGAAACAGAGCCAGGCAGTGGTGGCACACATCTTTAATCCCAGTATTGGAAAGCACACACACCTTTAATCCCAGGAAGTGACAGCAGGTCTGAAAAAGGTATGTAAGGTGTGAGGAAACAGGAACTAAAGCAGTTCAGCTGAGACCCTTTTGCGTGAAGCCTCAGAGGATTTCAGTCAGAGAACTCTTAGAGTTGGTGAGGTAATAGGTGGCTGTAGCTTGTTCTGCTTCTCTGATCTTTCATCTTTTAATCCCACTATCTGGTACTGGGTTTTTTGTTATAAGACCATTTAAGATTTGAACAACAGTGGTGGGATGGAAAGGGAGAGTACTGAAAGAGACTATTGCAAAGGGAGTGCATTTCAGCCTAGGTAACATGCCATAGTGGACCTGTTAGAGGAATACTTGACTTCTGAATGGACATTTTAAAAACCAGAAGGGGTTGAACAGATAATCTATTGACTCGAAGAGACCAAAGATGCCAGTCCAGATTATTATATCCAACAAAACTTTACATTACAATAGAAGGAGAAAAAGATACCTCTCAACATCAATGATCTTAATTCTGCAATAAAAATACACAGAATGACAGAATGGACACAAAAACTGGATCCATTCTTGTTGCATCCAAGAAACACACCTTAACCTCAGAATAGACATCATCTCAGGAAAAAGATTTGAAAGGGATATTAAGAAGTAAACTGGTGTAAACATGTTAATATCACACAAAACAGACTTTAAACCAAAATCAATAAGAAGAGATATATAAAGATAATACACACTCATCAAAGGAAAAATTCTACCAAGAGGACACTTAACGTCTTAACTGCTATACACCAAACACTTGTACCCAAGCTAATAAAAGAAAAACTACTATGGTTTAAATCACATATTGATCCTCACATACTGAAGGTGTGAGACTTCAATACCCCATTCTCACAAATAGACAGCTCATCCTGACAAGAGCTAGAAAGAAATATTAGTGCTAACTCATATCATAAACCAAATGGAACTAACAGATATTTACAGAATATTTTACCCAAACACACACAAAAATGACCATATGTGCATATATAAAACAAGTCTAGACAAATAACAAGAAAACTGAAATAATCCCCTACATCCTATCTGAGTGCTATGGATTAAAGCTGGATATCAAAAACAGAAACAAAAGAAAGCTTATAAACTCATGGAAACTGAACAACTAACTACTTAATGATAAATGAATCAAGCAAGAAATAAAGAAAGAAATTGAAGGCTTTCTAGAATTGAGTGAAAATGAATACACAACATATCTAAACATATAGCATACAATGAAGGCGATTTAATGAGGCAAATTCATAGCACTAAATGCCTACATAAAAAATTGGAGAGATCTCATAGTAGTAACTTAACAACACACTTGAAAAAAAAACCAAAATAAAGAGGAGAAATAACACCTAAAAGAGTAGACAACAAGAAATAATCAAACTCAGGGATGAGATTAGTAGAATAGAAACAAACAGTCAATGAAACTTTAAGTTGATTGAGAAAATCAATAAGATTGACAAAACCTTATATACATTAATTAAAAGGTGGAGAGAGACAATTCCTACTGACTAGTGTTCTTTGTACTGGAAGGTCCTCTGTGCACTACAAAAGGAGAAAGGCAAACAGCATCCCAGCTACAAACTCTTCCATCTACAGTGGTGTCCTTTCTTCAAGATAACAAAGCTTCTGGGAGGAACCAACCAATATCTGATTTAAGTCCTACTCCATGAAATGAGTGCTGTTTAGGTGATCATGATCCTGAGAACATATCATGGACCTAGGAGAAAACCAAATATTATTATTGTACTGAAGAAATATAGCAATAAATGACTCCTAATGACATTCTGCTATATTCTAGATCAGTGCTTTGCTTGGCCATCTTTTGAGAAACTTCTAACCACAGCAGATTAGAAAAATACAGTAAACCACAGCCAAACATATGCAAAGAGAGAGAGAGCTTGGAACACTCATGCTTAAAAGGGCTATCTTCATAAAATCCTGCCACCCCAGGGCTCATGGAACCCTACTGAAGAGAAGGCAGACACAGTGTAATATTCAGGATAATTGGGAAGAAACATCAAGGAAACAAGGCTAAGTATAGCAAGACTGGCATATATATGAATTCAAGATACTATGGTAGCATGCACAGGTCTTGCATGGGTTTGCACCTGATAGGGTCCTAGAGCTGAAAGTAGAAGATAGAGACAAATGTACCCATCCCTAATCCAGAGGCTAATTGTAATAAATAACTACATGCAAATGAAAAACTAGTTTCCCCTAAGGGAGTCTCACTAGGGAAACAAACGACTCTTAATGATAGGTTACATGCCCAGCAGTAGATGGTCAACAAAAAAGGCAAAATCAATCAGCATAATTTTTAGAGGTTCCTTGCTTCATAATGTTGGGTCTGGGCTTTTTTTTCTACCCAGAGATCCGATTCATATTTAATATAGGTTTTGGCTTTGTATTTTTATGGGATCCCTGAGTATGAAAATGATTAGGTGTTTGTGTCTATATATGTTTCTTATACCTCATCCCAGGCTATTTTCCTTATATGTTTGTTTATCATATATCAATTTGTTTATATTTGATTTATTTTATTTCATTATTATCTTAGATGCGTCTTTGTTTTCTGAGGAGAAACAGGAAGGGATTGGATCTGGATGGGAGGGAAGGTAGGGAGGAACTGGCAGGAGTAACTGGAAGTGAAACTATACTCTTGCTGTGGGATAATGTTCTTGCACACTGTAAAGATTTGTCATTCCTATTGGTTTAAGAAAATACTGATTTGCCAGCAGCCAGGCAGGAAGCATAGGCAGGGTAACCAGACTAGGAGAAGACTGGGAGGAGGAAAGGCAGAGACAGAGTCACCAGCCAGACACAGAGGAAGTAAGATGAGAATGTTGGACTGAGAAAAGGTACCAAGCCACATGGCTAAACATAGACAAGAATTATGGGTTAATTAAAGCATAAGAGCTAGTTAGTTATATGCCTGAATAATAGGTCAAACAGTTTATAATTAATATAACCCTCTGTGTGTTTGTTTGGGACTGAATGGCTGCAGGACAAGGCGGGACAGAAAATTCCATCTACATAATCTGAATATATTGTATGAAGAAATATCTATTTTCAGAAAAGAAAATATTAAAAAAACAGGAAAAAAAACAATTATAAACTTTCTATGTAATGGAAGACTCATTAATATAGAGGATATTTACTGGAAGGTAAACAATCTGCTTTAAAGTGAGGGGAAACATTCCACTGTGTAGGGAAGCTCTTTAAGCTGAGGAAGGAAACAACTCACAGTAGCTTCAGGAATAACTGGAAACTGAACAGATTCGGTAGGCTCCTTCCTCCTCAAGCATATACAACTTTAAGAACTGCTGAGAAACACTGTCAAACAAACTGAGTTGCATAAAAAAGGCTTAGACTGTGCACCCTGGAAGAAACAGACTGCTGAATTATAAAGAAGATATAATGACCAACCAAGCTGCCTGGAAGAGGGTCAAATCAACTGGCTAACCTGGAAAGGACATTTTCCATTGATGAAATTGCCTTCAGGCTGTGTAATATACTAAACCATTCCAGCTACCATCAACAGTCTAGTCTATAGTGTCTATTGGTGATACATATGATTTTGAGTCATTTCTGTTCATATAAGTGACACCAATAAAACCACTTTTCTTCCATGTTGGGCTCTGGGGTTTTCTGTACTTTTGTTTGTCACTGGTTACTACTCCTGACACCAGCAGGGTGGAGCCAGCAGTCAGGGCTGTGACTTTACTCCTTAAAAAAATAAAGTAATAAAAAAAATAAGGCATATATAAATGGAAAATACACAGATAACCTGGATACTATATATTATTGTGTTGTCTTTGGGATTTTTTTTTTTTTTTTTTTACAGAGGGATGTTTGATTATGGGGCGGCTAAGTTAAACAAACATATATTTTAAAAGTACCTTGACTTCAAAATTTGGGTCTAAGAATATGTTGCTTTGGAAAAGAGGTTCTGCTTTTGTTTCCATAGAAGATTAGAAGCTATGGATTCCTTCTAGTTCCATCAAGGAAGAGCCCCTGAGAGGTCTCCAATGGGATCTATGGCCCAGATTATCCAACATCCAGAACAGCTTCAAGGCAACTGGCTAAGATGATGCAGCCTCACAGACTACTATAGTAAAGATTTAACCATAATTCTGATTTTCTGAGGACCCCCATAAGATTGCCAGCACCCCCAATCAGCAGGAAGTAGTATTAAAAGCTACACCCAAATTCCCCAAATATTTTTTATAAATGTTAGTTTTTATTTAAAGGGGGTTGATTACAAATACCAGCTCTTTCTAAAGAAAAAGAGGGATACGATATAGAAATAATAAAAAAAGATAGATTATTGAGTCTACTTTGATCCAAAAAATAAGTGTTAAACTCAAAATACTTTACATTGATATGGATTTTCGTTTATTGATACAAATTTAAAGTCAATTTTGTTATACTATATGTATATTTCTACTCTTAAGGTATTATGTTTATGCAACTCATTTAAAATTGTAATGTATAATTAAGAAATACAGATTAATAATTAGTCATCTATGATAATCAAACTTATAGTCATGTTAGTTAAATTTCCTAGATATACAGAAGATATTTTAATTGGATAGATAGTCTTCAAACACTTCAAAAACCTACAGAATATGGAATTTTAAATGTTTTAAGAACTTAGACTTTTCTGGACAGTGAGACACATCTGCTCCTGGAAGCACCAATTGCTTTAAAGAGGATGATGGGCATCAAAGAAACTCCTTATGGATTTTGCTTACAATATAGAAAATGTTAGCCATTTGGGCAAGAAACTGGTCTTGCCTGAACTGCTTGACAGTATGTTATATAAACTAGACATGCAGGACCCATAGAAAAGTGACCACTGAACTTTGCCAAAACAAGGTGGGATGATCCTTCAGGTTCCTGCTTTGCAAAGGAAACTGCCAGACATCCTGCAGGACACAGAGAAAAACAACTGATGAACTTTGCCAAAATAGGTAAAAACAGTCCTTCAAATTTCCTGCTTCACCAAAAAGTGAAGAGATGACTATGCGAGAGACTATAGACCTGTAGGAAAAGAAAGACACCCAAAGTTACAGAGGAACTTCGGGTGACTGTCCAGGCAGCCAAATGTCTCTGTCATTTCTAGGATTTTGGAAGTTACTTAGGTAATATTATATCCTTCTGAGGTCTTTGATGGAGTTGAAGACTAGATAGTTATAGTTTTCCTTAGTTATGATAAAAGATAAATTAGATATAAAAACTCTAGACTCACAAAAATAGAACAGATGATAGAGTATTTTCTTTAATTTTGCCAAATACAAATAGACTAGATATTGTCACTTCAATTCTTATTTGATAACTGTTTCATTATATGTAATTTTACTATGTTAAAATGAAAATCTTCCTTTTTGATTAGACAGAAAAAGGGGAAGGGTTGTGGGGTGGTCTTTCTGTATGCTGTGAATATGTGCTGCTACCATTGGTTAATGAAGAAGCTGCTCTGGCCTATGGCAAGACAGGGTATAGTCAGGCAGGAAATCCAAGCACAGATTCAGTCAGACAGAAGGAAGGCAGAGTCAGGGGAGACACTGAGGGCTGCTGGGGGAGCAAGATGTACTGGAAAACAGGTAAAGCCATGAGACCCGAGGAGATACATAGGTTAATAGAAATGGGTTAATTTAAGATAAAAGAGCTAGTTAGCAGTAAGCCTGAGCCATAGACCAAATAGTTTGTAATTAATATTAAGCCTCTGAATGTTTATTTTGGACTGAGCAGCTGTGCGACATAGGAAAAATTCTGTCTACATTCATGAGTCAGCAGATATTTTGTACGTCTCCCCAGGGGTCGAGTTACACAATACACACACTATTCCTCCATCTGCACAAACTCAGAGCACTTTAAATTCATCCTCCCTGTAGCCCCCCCTCTACTTTCATATGTTCTAATATCCAAAGTTTGTGTTAAGACCTTGATCTATAGCACCTCTCCTATGTCCATTCTAGCTTCCAGATCTTTAAAGAAACTGCTAATTAAAAACATGAATCAAGAATTGCAACCTAAATGAAAAAGTCAGAATCTAGGCTGTACATATTAAAGAGGACATGGGGAATTGACTTTTGTTGCATGGGCTATCTCACCCAGTATAATATTTCCCAGTTCCTGCATGATCAGACTTCTCTTCAGATTGTCCACTCTTGTTCTATGCCTTGAATATCCTTCCAATTTTTCTTCAGCAGTTTATCTCTGCCTAAGTTGTTTGAGACTAAAGTCACTTCTGCCTTACAGACATGAAGGGTCATAATATAAACAGGTTTTCATTAATACACTTATAGATAAAACTTAAGGATTTTGAGATAAAGTGTGAAGACTTCATGACTGAAGCTCTCTGTCATCCAGTGCACAGACAATAACCTCTACTATAATCTAAGACTTCATACAGTCATGCTTGCACTCTATTCTTTTGTAAAATACTTATAAATTCCCTGCTGAGTTGCTGGCACCATATAATGATCACATATTAAGATTTTCAGAAATAAACTTTTAGATGTTATGAGACAAAAAGTCCTACACATTTGATAATCTTTACTCTTAGTTTTTGGATGTCTTTTGTAGTTATGTCGTTTCTTAAGGAAAAAATTCAGTTGAACCTTAATTTTGATACAGTTCATTAATCTGGCTTACAGTTAGTGAATTAAGAGTTTCGGTAGATGGTAAGGCAGAGTAGCTCAGGCCAATTAGTAAGGAGCAAGGAAGGAAAGATGGAGGACGAAGGAACAGAGGAAAAAGATGAGATCAAAAGCATAGGAGCTTAGGACTATGAGAGGACAGGAAAAGTAGGTACACAGAGGAGCTGAATGTGAGGACAAAGTTGAAGCTGCATAGATAGAATTTTGTCTTAGAGAAATAAAGTAAATGGATGAATGAGCATGGTGTACATAGATTCTTTTTGCTCAGATAACCCCACACTGGACATAGTGTTCTTCCCCAGGACCCTGGAGGGATTTTCTCAAGGCAGGTCCTGGGAAAAGACTGAAATAAGTTGCCCAGGCAGACCTTAAATTCTCAATCTTCCAATGTTAAACCTGATATATGAGGAGAAATATCAACTCCATTACTGTCCAATTAATGCAAGCTTTATTTTAGAGGAACATGGGGACTGGCCTCCTCAACCAAACAATATTAACCTAAGTTGGGATTTGAGAGAGCAGACCCTTTCCGGCTTTTGGGGGTCCCTTTTATTGGGAAAGATTATGGTAATGGAAAACAGTTGTAAGTATGTTTACAGGGACAAGATAATTGGCTGCTAGAAAACATACAACAAAATATAGGATTAAAATTATTATAATCATGTGGAAGGAAGTCATACAATATGGGGTATAGATCAAGGTATCTTGAAAACATTTTGCAAGGCAAAGAGCAGTCATACATCATGAGGTCACAAGTTCAGTGTGGTTTTACTGGGTACATTAGGTTTGGGAAACAGAAATATATTCTTGTAAAATATGGAGACTTACCAACAGTGTGGCTCCTGTTCTGGTTTCCCTCCTCCCTTGGCCTTCTAGTAGCTAGGATTAAGGGCCTGTGCTACCATACCCAGCTGTGCCTAAATATGTTTTTACCAAAAATATCTTTATAGCCAGGACTGTTAGATTAGCCTTGTAATCCGAGCTACTGGGGAGACTAACACAGAAGTTCAAGGCCTGCCTAGGCTACAGAGTGAGTTCAAGACCAGCCTGGACAACTTAGTTAGACTCTGTCTCAAAATGAAAAATAAGAAGCGGGTTGGGGGTTGAGCTTAATGATAGAGTGCTTGGTTGCTATCTGCAATCCCTGAGATTTAATCTCCATATCATAAAAATTGTGTGTGTGTGTGTATATATATATATATATATGTGTGTGTGTGTGTGTGTGTGTGTGTGTGTGTGTATACACATGTATATGTAATGTATATATAAAATATTATATATATGAAAACAATGAAGAGGAAATGAAATGAAAATGGTCAACTCTGAGCTTATGACATAATTATTTTCCACATATGCCTTAAAAAGTATATCAGGGTATATGTCTTTAGATGTCTTCATTTTGGTCAGAGCTACAAAGGGAGACTCTCTCAAAACAAAAGACAAAACCAAAAATAGAAACTAAGAGAAATCAGACCAAGGCTATGGGTGTTTCTGTAAACATGGAAGGATGCAAATGGCTCTTGTTATGTCAGCTGTAACTATGGTAGGCATGGATGTGGGGGGATCTACATATGGTAGGGTCATGGCTAGGGCTCTATACCATGAGGCCAACTTCAAGCACAAAACAGCAGCAAAATCAATTAGAACTAGAACTTAGGAAGAAGATTCTAGGACCAAGAGAGTAAGACACTAGAGGCTCACAGCTAGACCCAGCCAGGATGAGGCCTCCTAGGAGGAAAGAGCAGAGCCTGCCCTAGGCTACTGGGGCTGGTGGCATGTGACTGATGCCTGAGGCAACTGCTCTAAAGCAACACCTACCAGGCACTAGTTTTTAAAAAGTCCTTGGTGTGGCTCACAGGTATCATTAGATATCATATAACATTCTATGCCCAAGCCTAGGAAGAAGTCAGGAGTCCAGTTGCAGAATTGGCAGGAGTTGGGCTGAACTGTTGCCCATGTCCCTTCCATTCCCTACTATGGTGAACCTGACTCCCAAGTCACCACTGCCTGCTTGCCCTTTACCTCTTCTCTAGAAACAGGGAAAAGTCTCAGAACCTTGGCATTCACTTGAAGACACCTCACACTACTCTACAGGAATCTCCCAAATAACCTACATTACTACACCACCTTGTGCAGAAACCCAATAAATACACTTTTTAAACAATTGGTTGAATGAATGCACAGAACAAAAAGAAGGGATGAATGGATGCAATAAATTACTGAAGGAAATAAAATGGAAGGAGAAGACTGAGTAACTGAATGGGCCAAACAATAGGAATGAGTCAAGACCTGTAACTAGAGACTCCCTGTTATAGTATATTATTTTAAGGTGGATTACTTGTGTTTAAGCTCTGGAACATTTGCCTAACCACACAAAGAAGTGTTCCATTGGTTTGATTAAATAAAATTAGCCTGCAGTCATGAGGCTGAGTCAGCAACTAGCTGACAGGAAGCAGTAGGGAAGAGTCAGGTGGAGAAGGGCTTTTAAGTGGGGGCTGGTAGAAGGAGTCCTGGCTTTTGGGGAGATGCAGTCAAGGAGAGGAGGTGGGCTCCTTGCTATTCAGTCTCTCAGATCTGTAGAATTCCACCTCCACCTTTGAATATTGAATTCTTTAGGGGGACAGAGATTTAGATAAGTTCCTTTCAAAGTCCTAAAGAGTCAGTGCCTGAGGGAACAGAATCCCCTCAGGCTGCAGCCCTTGAGGTGACCCATTTTGGTAGCAGAGTTGCAGTTGCTGATTGGGACAGACATTGCTTAAACAGCAGCAACAGTTATAAAGAAAGATAAATCTCAGCCTATGTAGACAGCAGTCAGGACAGTGAATGGTATCAACTTCTTTGGACCCCAGGTGGGACAAGTGGGAACATAGGACTGGGAACCATTCAGCTGCTCAAACCTACCTGATGCCCCAGACCTCTCAAGCTTCATGTCTGCTTCCCATGTCAGCACAGCTGGTTAGTAAAGGCACTCAGAATGGGGTGCTACTTCTGCAAGGCAGACCCCCAAACTGGAAAGGCACATGGCATACATGAGAGTATGATCCTATTGGGCCCTGAGACCTGGGCTGGGGTCACTGGCATGACCGAGGCAATAGGGGGCCATAGGAGACAATCAACAGCCAGTGCAACACATGCATAGAGTTAATCTTCTCCCTGTGCTTCCTATCCAAGCCTACTGTGGCCCCAGTCTCTGGACCCTCACACAGCAGCTGCCCACAGCCCTGGACCCATCCTCTATAGACCAAGGAAAAGGAGAGAAGGATGATGCAAGGGAAAATGGGCTGACTCCACACATGTCTCCTCCTCTCTCAATGAATCCTTGACCTGGGAAGACTAGAAGCAGAAAACCAATCCCCAGGCTCACTACTGGCCGCCTACATGGGGCTGATGTTTTAATCAGTGTTTTATTGCTGTGAAGAGACACTATGATCACAGCAACTCTTATAAAAAAAAGCACTGAATAGGGACTTGCTTACAGTTTCAGAGGTTTAGTCTCTTTTCACACTGTAGAACACAGGTAGATATGGTGCAGGAGATATAGCTGAGAGTTTTACATCCACATCTTTGGGGAGCAGGAAGAGAGAGAGCCACTATGCCTGGCTTAGCTTCCGAAACTTTTGAGCCCACCCCCAGTGACATGCTTTCTCCAAAAGGCCACACCTCCTAATCTATCTAAGCTGTGTTACTCCCCAATGACTATGCATTCAAATATATGAGCCTATGGGAGCCATACTTACTCAAACCACCACATTCTACTCCCTACCCCAATAGGCTTGTAGTCAGATCATAATACAAAAATGCATTTAGTCCAACTTCAAAAGTCTCCATGGTCTACAACATGCAACACTGGCTCAAATATCCAAAAATCTAGTGTCTATTGAGACTTATAGCAGTCTCAAAAGTGTAAAACCCTGTAATATCAAAATTAAATAGCAGAACACATACTTCCAACATACAATGGTACAAAATACACATTCTCATTCCAAAAATGAGAAAAGGAAACATGGTGAGGGTGAGCAGAGTGAGGAAATTTGGGACAAAAGCAAGACTAAAAAACTAATTAGGAGGTGCTAGGGGGCCTCAGATACTCACAACTTTGGTCCACTAAGTGGCAATGGTCATCAGGGTGTCTGAGATGGTGAGGGCTGATGGCTGTGGCATAGCAGGCTGGCACATAGGGAAGGTGTCACTTCCGGGGTTCCCCACAGGACCCTGGCCTGCTACTGGGCCTCACAGTGTGGCTAGGGGGCCTCCAAGGGCGTTGAGGGACTGCAAAGAGAGGTCAGGAAGAACAGCACTTCTGCTGGCTGCTGCTGGGGCGGGCAGTGGAGGGAACACAGGCGCATGCAGCCTGCGGAATCTTTATCGATTTCAAGCGTTAAGGGCAGGGAAAGAACAAGTCCAATTGTGATTGGAAAACAACACCCTACACACGACGTGGTCATGGGAGAAAGCACTGGTCCATCTTACCTTAAATTCTTGGGGATCACTTCACTGAACTTCTTTTACTTCTCTTTGTCTTCTGCCAATTCAGAAGGTAGCACAAGGCTCTTCTTCACAATGATTTTGGTGATGATTTTCAGGATCTTGCTCTGCTGGAGCAATTCTCAAGTTGTCAGAGATGTCCTTGAAATCAACCATGCTACAGATAAAGTCTACAATGAAACAGAGCAGAAAATGCAGGAAAAAGTTGGATCAGACCTGGTGCGGTTACCAGATTTAAGATACACAATAGTGAAGGTCTTAAGAACCAAGGACTATTGTTATCTGGGTTAAAGACAGTCTCAGCTGTATGCTGAAGGCCTGATAACAAAGACTTTGCCTTTAATACATACATTACACCCAGGAGATATTGAGGTACTCAAGTGTCACCTTAACACAGCTGCCCATGATGAACACAAGACAGACACACAGTCTGATGTTCTTCTTCTTGTTTTTAGAAAGGTCAAGGGGAGCTTGCCAAGGAATGAAGAGCAATGCCCTGAATCCCAAGTGACTTCCTACAGAGAAGTGCTGAAAGAGAACCCAGCAAGGCAATTTAGGACAACATTGCCTCAAGTCCCCAATATCAAACAACTGACACAGGAATAATGGCATACTCCTGAAACCCTAGGAACAGACTAGAAACTATGGGCTGCTCCAGAGAAAACAGCCCCAATACCAAGTCAACCTAAATGCTCTTAGCAAGAAGTGTCCCTCCAATCAGAAGCCAGGCTGTCATGACCACCACCAGAGTGGGTGAGGGGGGGTGGTTCCCACCAGAAGGGAAAGTGAAACCACTGCCAAGCACAGGCCACTCTCAGGAGTCCCCAGTGGATCACGTCATGCGGTTCCGTGGCTTTCAGTTCTCAGCTATGAAACAGTGGGAGGGCACATTCTGTACACCCTTCTAGTTTACACAACACACACTTGGACTGCCACATGGATTTGCCAATCATTGGGGAGACTGTTGCAGCATTTGCCATATTCCTCCCCTGTGATGTCAGTAGCCTTTCCAGTCCAATTGGTCTCAGCCTTAGTCAGCTCCTCCTGATCCACGCACGTATTTCTTCTTAGTCTCTTTGGATTCCCTTTCTTACCACTGCCGCTGTCGTCATCCTCATCTGCTCCCACATCTGTACTCTTATGCTTGTACTCCAGATTCTTACCTTCCTCCTGCTTCCTCATCTTTCTCTTTCTCTGCCTCATTTTCTCTGATCTCCTTCTCTTGTTCCTTCTCTAAGTAAATCACCAAATTTAATGAGTTGAGGAGAACTCAGCACCCAGCTAAGCCAGAGGCCAGGAGCCAACACAACAAGCCACTCAAACACTGCCAAGCCCATACTCACATAGAGGGTGGTGGGAGAACTTAATGAAAGGTGAGTGTTTCTTCACAGCTTCCTTGACCCTCCTCTCCTCTCTGCATTCTCTCAGGTCTTCTTTTAGGAGAAGGCTCACTTTAGTATTCTGTCCAATGGGCTCACCTATAGAGAGATGAACCATACTATAATAAGAAGATATGGAATTAAAACTACAGCTAAAATACTCAACAAAGTTAGACTGCTTTAAAACACAATGCTCAAGACTTCTGACTTACTTAACCCAGACAAATCCCCCAATCCCCACAATGTAGGTAGCCAACTCACATGGTCAGCACAACTTGAAGGATTCACCAGTAACAGACTCCCAGGCATGCTGCTCACCATCACTGTGCCTTGTGACCACAAACATATTCTGTGCCACCAGATAGACAGAATAGAAACCATCATCCAAGTGTACAGACATGGATACGCATCCAACAGCCTGCCAAAGGGGTTTCAAACATTCAAAGAGAGCCAGCAACATGGTTCTGCACAAGCAAAATCACTTGCTTCTGGAGTATAACAATCAAGGTTCAGTCCACAGAACCTGGTGGTCAAAGTTCTCCTCAGACCTCCACATCATACTCTAAAGATCCATTGCATACACCAGTCAAACATGTTTTCAGAAATTATCATGCCAAAAGCAGTAACAAATTGAGAACAGTGTGGATAAAAGGCCACAAAAATGCTGGCCTCCATGAACATTTTTGTGCCAAACTTAACGATGGTTCCAAAGTCACCTAAGGGGCCAACCTTGATCAAGCAAATGCCTGTGTCTAGAATGTCAGCAGTACTACTGAGGTTGGGGATGTCAGTTTTCTTTCTTTCTTTCTTTCTTTCTTTCTTTCTTTCTTTCTTTCTTTCTTTCTTTCTTTCTTTTTGTTTTTGTTTGGTTGGTTTTTTGTTTTTCAAGACAGGGTTTCTCTGTGTAGCTTTGCGCCTTTCCTGGAACTCACTCTGTAGCCCAGGCTGGCCTCAAATTCACACAGATCCGCCTGGCTCTGCCACCCAAGGGCTGGAATTAAAGGCAAGTGTCACCACCGCCCGGCAGGGATGTCAATTTTCAAATCATTCCTATTTGCCCACTTGTAAGAGTCTCTCAGGCCCTCATAAAGACACTTATTCAAGGCTTGTAAATACATATAAAAAAACCACATCATTTTGTTTTTCAAAAAGTCCCCTGCCTTTCAAACTTGTGGCAAAATTTTGGGATCACCTGATAGATTATTCCTCTCAATCACCTCTACTACACTTCACACTACATGTCCCTTTTCAGCTTTTATAAAGTTTTAAGAATACAACAGAATATTCACATCTAAAACATTAGAGATCAACTCCCACAAAAATGTCCTTGTCTGCCTAGGATGTATTGATGATGAGGGGCAGGAGCTGAGCAATTCTATCTGAAAGGACAAGATCTCCACTTCTTCCTCTGGCATCTAAGAAGGAAAGCATCATGTATTACCAGAGACCATCATGGCTGAACACTTTAAAATCCAAGAATTGACCTGCTTCAATTAAGTCCTTATCCAGAGGCACAGTTAAAACTGCTTTAAACCCCAAGAGATGAGAAAAGACCTTGAATCTACAGTGAGGAAGGAAATCAAGAGAGAGAGAGAGAGAGAGAGAGAGAGAGAGAGAGAGAGAGAGAGAGAGAGAGAACACCACCACCACCACCCAGGATTGTTTCAAAGAAATAGAAAGTCCAACTTTCTGAATTGTATCTTAGAGCTCAGATAGGTGGCTGGGAATCTCAACACCTGCTGATACACATGGAAAAAATCCAGAATGAGAATTACTGGATTTAGAAACCAAGCAACTCCTGGGCATGTAAAAATTGGAAATTCCTCCACTAGAATTTCTTCATTTGGACTAAGACCAAACTTTAAAAGAAACAGCAGTCATTTCTATGTGCTGTTCCTCCTGGGCATAAGTCAATCCTGCAAATGTTCCCTTCCATCCAGCCGGGCAGGAGAACCCAATGTGTAGTAGAGCGCTGAAGGGGCAAATAAATCATGACAAAGGGCCAAGGAGACAAGAACTCCACCATGACAGCTCGTTGTGCAGACCTGCAGAGGCCAAAAGACAAGCAAAACACTGGCCCAAGCTGTCCAGAGCATGAGTGGGCAGGAGCAATGCGGGGAGGGGGCGGGAAAGTACAACCTCCCATCGCCCAGCATCTACTTGTGGGAAGTCAGAAGCTTATAAAAGGATTTGAGCATGTGGGACTGAATCTTCCTGTGCCTGCCCTTTCCAAATTTCTACTCCCCCTCCAACTAGAGCGCAGAAAAGATCTGGAAAGGGAAAGCACAATGGGTTCAAGCTTCCCTGCCAAAGCTTGGACCCCTCTCCCAAACCAAGCACATTGGGAAATGCGTCCAGGACAGCTGGCAGGACCATCTTTAAGGGACAGAGCCGCCAGTCACTGAACAGATGCTTCAGACCCAGCAACTATATCTTTAATGGGAGGGCAAGCATGGTTCCTTACCCGGGGTCTGCGGTTCCCATCTGCTGCTGTCCCCAGTTGGGCAGGCGGCCCCCAATAGCACCAGGTGCCCTGCCTTGTGAGCTGCTAATCTACCCGCCTAGAGCGGACTCTGGGGGGAGTGAGCGTCCTGCAGCTACAAGCATTATAAACTCTCCGGGCACATCATGCCCCTGGCAGAAGCCTTTGGGACAGATGCGAACATGGAAACGCTTCTGGGACAGATGCGAACATGGAAACGCTTCTGGGAAGGAGCCACCGGGAGCAGCAAGGGACAAAAAGCCAAGGCCTTACCTTAACTGGAAAACGAAGTAGAAGGACAGAGCCAGGTGATCCAGGACTGACTCACACGCAAAACGTAAGCCTAGAGGAGGTGACTGGAGTGAGCGCTCCTAGACGCACCAGGACCTCCTTTCATTCAGAGGTGCTCAGCTCAGACCTCCTGCTCTGGATCGCTCAGACTTAAAGGACCCGCTTCCACCCACCAACAGCCCTGCCTGCGCGCCTCGGCGTCCTGACGTCACGGTTGCACACCCTGGAGGGGGCGGGGAGAAGCAGGAGCCTGGGTCTGGACTGGAATTGAATGTTTGGCGGCTCCTGCTGAGGGAGCAGCTGTGGCACTGCTGTGTTTTCTTCTGGCAATTTTCGCACCAGGGCCTGGTGCCAAGGTAAGGTATTACCCGAGTCTCAGCCTTCTCCTGTTAAGCGATCCAGGAGTACGGCCAGGAGCTAGGGGTTGTCTGGCCAACCAGAGTTCATTCCTGGAGATGAAGACCGCGATTGTGGGGGGCAGGGGATGTAGCAGGTAAAGAACAGACCCAAAGCTGCCAACATTTGCTGTCCCTTGAATTAAGAAACAGGGTTGGGGCGACCCTCAGCAAGGTGCTTACCTAGCATATACAGAGCCCTTGATTCGATCCCTAGATCCAAGACATGATGGCACACTCCTGCAATACCACCATTTAAGGGGTGAAAGCAAGAGGTCATCCTCTTGTCCATCTTGTCTCAGAGAGAAGGAGGAGAGCGAAGTGGAGAGGGAAGACACAGGAAAATGGGGGAGGGAGAGAGACAGACAGACAGACAGAAAGACAGGAGAGAGAAGGGTAGAAAGGAAAAAACTGGCCTTTCTAGGTCTGGGTCTCAGTCTGGGTGTCTTGGCTTTAGCCTGCCTCTTGTCCTCAGTCCTAGCAGGAAGTACTGCTGTCCCTCTGAGGCCAAGAGTTCTACCTTTTCCTTGTACCAGGCCCAGACTTGGGTCTTGCTCCTCGCCAGACCCAGGCTGCTAGCCTTCTATCCTTTCCAAGTCGTTAAGCCTTAGCAGGACCCTGGGAGCTGTGCAGGTAAAATAAAACGTTTGTTTAATCAGAGAGCCTCTGAAGGCACATGGCTTCTGTCAGGGTTAAAAGAGAGAGAAAAAAAGGCAATAAAATGACAAGGGGAGGTGACAGGGAGAACAGGCATAGGAAAAAGGAAAGAGAGGGAACCTCATCAGATCACATGATACACCAGTCAGGCCTGCCACCTCCACCTCATCCTTGTGACAGACAGGTCTCTTGCAGCCTAGGAGCCCCTTGTGGTTGACTTAAGCAGGGAGCAGTCAGAGCTGTCAGTGAGAATTTGTGTCTCCTTGCTAGTCTGGCTAAGCCCAAGTCCACCCACAGAGGCTTCCTCCTACCTGGGGCCTGGACATCTCTGGGCAGCACTGACCAGAAGGAAGGAGTTGGCTAGAGGAGCAAACCTGCTCATGACCCCAGCTTATCCCTGTCATGGAAGAAAATGAGACAGAATTGAGCAGGACACAGGCAAGCAGTACAGTCCTTCTGTCCCCATGTGGTCACACAACTGCCCTTATACAAAGGAGAATATGGCTTCCAGAGCCAGGCCCAGAAACAGAAAAGGGCCATGAGGAACTCCACTGTCTGCATTGCAGAGACCACTAAATATAGTAGTTACAATCGATCCTTATTAGAATGAAAGGAACCAGGTTGGTCCTCATGATCTAATCAGGGCCCCTAGGATTAAGCCTCTAGGCCTGGTTATTTGGGGGAGTGCTAAATGGCAGGTGTATAGTGGTGGTGCCTATGGAATACTGAATTTTTATTCTTTCCTTTTTTGAGAAAATTCTCATGTCTCCCAGGCCACCCTCAAACTCACTATGTAACCCAAAATAACCTAGAACTTCTGATCCTCCTGTTTCCATCTGTCAGGTGCTGAGATTTCAGGTTGCACCAGCACACCTGACTTCTGAGATGCACTGGATCAAACTCAGGGCTTCATGAAGCATGCTAGGCAGGCAGTCTTAACAACTGAACCACATTCCTAGTCCCAAATACTGGAATGTATCTTTAGATCTGGGTATACATGTGTGCATGTATAGTCTTGCACACCTCTGCCTAGTGGCACACCTAAGAACTCTACACTTGGGCTGAAGGGCTCAGTGGTCTAGAGTGAGTCCTGCTCTTGCAGAACAGCCATGTTCAGTTCCCAACCCTCACACCAATCAGCTCACAACCACCTGTAACTCCAGGTACAATTCCATGGTATCTGATGCCCTCTTTTGACATCTGTGGGCAGATGCACTCACATACACACACCCTCCACAAACATATATACATAATTTAAAAATATCTTTAAAATCTCAACTGGATGTAGGAGCACATGCACGTGAGAGCAGAGGCAGTTGGATGTCTGTGAGTTCAAGTCAAGCCTGGTCTACACAGCAAGTTCCAGGACAGCCAGAGCTACATAGTGAGACCTGACTCAAATGAACAGAAAGAAAACCATAATAACTTTAAAATGTAAAAAATATTAAAAATAGTTACATGTAAGTTACATCTAGATTTGATGCAAGCACTGCTGTTTGGGTTTTTTGTTTGTTTGTTTGCTTGCTTTCCTCCCCCCCTTCCCCAAAACACACACACTTCTTGCAGTGCTACAGATAGAACACGGGGTCACACTTGCTAGGCAAGCTCTACCTCAGAGCTCCACTCCCAGCCCCACCTGTATACTTTCTTGGGGTCCTTCTTGATCTCAGTTAGACTCTTTGATCCCACGAGTCTTAAAGGTCCCCCTGTACTTAACGTACGTGAATATACCTGGGAGGCCCCAGTCTAACCAGTCAAACACATTGAAATGCAGGAAACAAGACACAGGAACGAAGTGACTTCCTGGAAGAGAGAACAGAGACTCAGACTTAGCATCTGTCTCTCTGGGGCACAGCCTCCTCGCTGTAAAGTAGAAGAGAGGTTTCCAGCCAAGGGCAGGGCGATCAGGCCCATGGAGATCCGGCTGGCAGAATCCTCTCCAGGTTGCATGCATTCCACCCTTGGTCCTGCTCTAGACTTTGTTCGAATCCATCCCAGGGATCCACAACAGCCTTTCTCCAGGTACACTGGTGCCTGAGATGCTGGATTTGACCTTAGCAGTCACAGCAGGGAACAGGCAATAAATACTGTGAAGTTGAAGCAGAGGTTGAGAGCCAGGACTGAGATCTGGAGAGTGAGGGAACAGATTCATTCATTCCCTGTTGTTCATGGTTGCTCTGTACAGAGACCAGAGAACACACACACACACACACACACACACACACACACACACACACACACACACACACATTGTTGTTAGGGGTTTCTACTCTTCTGGTGGGTTCTGCCACCCATTTCCCAAATAAATCACACATGGAGGCTTTTTATTAATTATGAATGCCCAACCTTTGCTTGGCTTAGTTTCTAGCCAGCTTTTTTTTTTTTTTTTAACTTATCCTGTCTTCTTGCTTCTGGGCTTTTCCCATTCTCTAACTTCGGAAAATCTTACTCTTAGTCCATGGCTTGCTGTGTAGGTGGTTGGCTGCCCCCCGAATTCCTCCTCCTTCTCTGGCTTCTAGATCTTAGCTCTCCAATCTCACTTCCTTGATGTCTCCTTCTATTTATACTCCCTGCCTGTCATCCCTACCTATCCTTTCTCCTGCCTTTCTATTGGCCAGTTCTTTATTTAACCATCAGGTGTTTTACACAGGCACAGTAACACAGCTTCACAGAGTTAAACAAATACAACATGAACAAAAGTAGCATACCATAAAATAATATTCTACTACTACACACACACACACACACACACACACACACACACACACACACACACACACCACTGGGGAAAAACGTCAGGAAAAGGCCCTGTCTCAGGTCAGGAAGGGAGGTGGTGTGAGGGTAGATACAGTAAAAGCAGGTGAGGAAGGGAGGTCAGGAAACCCCAGCCCCACATACTCTCTTAAGTAAGGCTTTGATAGAGTGGCTTTGCATATTTGTATCCCTATTGTAACATGTGTAGTCTATTTTGTATCATGGATATTTTTTGGAGTGTCTTTTGTCTCACCTGGAATGGGAACCATTTAAATCATGGACCCACTGAGCTACAAGCATTGGAATAACTCAGCTATAAGTACTCCACCCACTGAGCTAAAAGCCCTGTAATAACTCAGCTAAAAACATTCTCCTCACTGAGCTTCAAGCACTCTACACACGGAATGACAGGACCCACTGAGTCAAAAGCTCTCTACACACTGAGCTACAAGCAGCATAATAACTCAGCTACAAGCACTCTACCCACTGTGCTACAAGCACCTTGCCAAGTAGGACACAAACACAAACACCTCTCCCCTTCTCTTCCCTCTGTAGCTCCCTTTGCAACTGGAAACCAGTTTAGAGCAGAGAAATCCACCCAGTGTAGCTTTGTCCCATTCCATTCTTTATGTCCCCCGAACACTTTGGGTGTCTCTGTGCAGACTTAGGTCTTGTTAGTTCTGTCCCAGTCTAAAAAGGGAACTTCAGGTCAGCTGAGGTTTAGAGTCTCATGGACACAGTACTTGTGCTTGATCCTCACACTTTGGAATCCTGAACTTGGAAAAGCATACTTTACCTCAGTGCGCAATGTAAGTTGTTCTGATGTGTTGATATTTGCCAGAATGACTGAGCCTCTGCATGATGTGTCTGTTCTCCAAGACAGCATGGCACACATGGTCAATACATGTCCTTCTGTTCTCCAAGACAGCATGACACACATGGTCAATACATGTCCTTCTGTTCTCCAAGACAGCATGACACACATGGTCAATACATGTCCTTCTGTTCTCCAAGACAGCATGACACACATGGTCAATACATGTCCCTCTATTCTCCAAGACAACATGACACACGTGGTCAATACATGTCCTTCTGTTCTCCAAGACAGC